TCTGATTCTGACTCCTCCCCCTTTGTCCATCAGCTGTAACTCTTTGAGGCAGCCATCTGCCCAGCTACATCTGCAGCCCCCATCATGCCGCGGTTTTTGTACTGCTTTGCATTTTTTGTACTGCTTTGCGATTCTGCTCTCATGTCCCACACTTTGCTCTTGTGCCAAATCTCGTGGCTCAGCTTGGAACTTCATGCCCTGCCTGAGGGACTGATGAGAGTAGATATCTGCCTGTCAGCAAGCTGTTTGGTTCTGGATGCCACAGGTGGAGATAGTTCTGGATGCAGTTGTTGGTTCAGTTCTGGTTCTCTGTCTGGTCTATTGAGAAGGAGCAGTCTCCTGGTCGGGTTAGGCCTTTGTTTGCTCAGCGGATCGGGGTCTTAGCCGTCTGACGGGCAGAGAGAGAGAGAGTCCAGGTCTCGGGACGCATTACCTATAGAAATTCTAGCACACTGAGGTTAAATAAATCCAACCCTTTCCACTCTGTCTCTTTCTAATCATACTATTTGTCTTAGTAGTTAACTGCCATCTAAACAACACAATTAATGTCTACTAATGATATTACAAAAACTCCCTCTAATAATCGTTTCGTCCATTGTGACATATTTACCCAAACTAAGTTTTTCAACACCTACATGTTTCCAGCATCGCATATTTCACACACTATGAAATAACCTCCCTGTACTTAAAAATCCCACTGCTTGGTTAGAACAATAGTAAACCTGCAGAGCACACTAATCAGATCACAGTAATGTAATTTGACCCAAGTGTAGGCCTATGTCGTTCCTAAAAATGTTAGCAAACTCCAACTACAACATTTATAGACAAATTGATTTAGCAAAATGAAATCTTATGTAATTCAAAATGTGACAAAAGAACAATGATTTGTCTTACACAAGATTGTGGTCTAACAGAATGACTCTTGACCTCATGGGGTCAAATAACTTGGATGCTGATCATCCTGAACATGTGGCCTGAAGAACAAGAGGACCTCTTAATCATTAACACAATGGACTCTCAGAGATGAGATCTAGCCATGAGGTGGCTGACTTTAAAATGAACTGTGACAAATAAACCACATACGTGTGGGTACATTATATTTTACACAATATAACACAAAACAACACTCCATTAAAACAATAACCACTCAAATGAGCCTTGGTGAAAAGCATGAAAAACAAAACAACTTAATCTACTCTCATTGTTCGTGTACATCTTTACTCCAACTATTGATCATAGTTCCTTGTCTCTCTCTCTGTAGAGGTTTCTCAATACTCAAATTTCCCCTCCTCGACTCCCCTCCTCGGTTCCCCTCCTCGAGACTTAGACCCGCCCACAGGAGATGCGAGCGGAGGACCGAGGAGGGGAACCGAGGAGAGAGGAGGGGAAGCAGCAGACGTTTAAAGAAATGAGAACTCCTCTCCTCTGAGCGGTCATATTAAAGCGACGTCCGTTCAATATTACGTGGCAACAGCTGCATCAGCTGTCGAGTGTTTTGTCATAGCGCTGTATTTTATAATCTCTGTTAGATCAGCTGAACATTGTTCCCCCACATATTTACTTTGAATTAATTGAGAGTGCGGTATACCGTATAATGAGACAATAACAGGCACAGATGCGGGGACACACACACAAATATATTTATATAAATATATACAATTTAAAGTATGAGAGCTCAGCACTCTCATAATAACGTAACACAATCAGAGACTGGATATATCCCCCCCCTCTCTTTGGTTGCTGAAATGGGGAATTGAAATTACGGGCCAAAAGTTGTATTTACAAGTATTAACTTGTAATAATAATAAGCCACTTACAATTTTCCGTGAGATCAGGGAGCAGATATAAGATGGAAGTTTCCCTAACATACAAAGCCATGTTAGGGAAACTTCCATCTTATATCTGCTCCCTGATCTCACGGAAAATTGTAAGTGGCTACTGCCTGAGATCGAATGCATTTTATTAAATGTGCCAACTGCTAGGACTGTCTTAGGGAAGACAGCTTTTCGATGCGCAGCTCCTCTGTCTTGGAATAGTATGCAAATTAAATGGAAACTGAACAATCTGGTGCCACTAAATGTTTTTAAAGCTCGGTTGGATGCTACTCAATCGGAAGCTATTGGTACCTGTTTATGTGGATAATTATGTAAATGATGCTGTATGATGTCCTTTTGTTGTTCTATTTATGTTTTTATGTTTCATGTGGAACTACTTGAGCAGGTCTCCCTTGAAAAAGAGATCAATGATCTCAATGGGATTTATCTGTATAAATAAAGATTTGAAATTAAATTAAATTAAAAGTAAGCAGAGGACACCAAACCAACTGAGACCCGTCTGTCCGCCGCATCTACGCACTGTACAACACACACCTACATACTGTACCACACACACACACATACACACTGCCTACAACACACACTTACAGCTCCTAAAGCATAATCAGGCTACAGCCGTTGTGTATTTTATTATGTGACGCACTAAATGGTCTTAGAAAAATATCGACTCTTTGTACTACAGCAAATAAAGAGAGTAATGTAGGCCTGTTATACTGAGTGATATTGTACACTGCTCTGCTTTCTGCACGGAACGCGATGAAAGCAGTTTCTAAAATAATATCCAGAGGATGCATGCAGAGCTGTCATTGGCTGAGATAAGTCCGGCCGTGCGTCACGCCTCCACCGTTCCCGGAAATGCATCCGCGGAGGAGCCGTGGAGGAACTATCAGTGTATCCTCGGTTATAGCTCCTCCAGAGAGCCTCCTCGACGCTCGATGCTCGGTCCTCGGTGTGCATTTAGAGAAATGAGACGTCCTTCAAAATGGCGCGCTGAAATTCATTTCCGGGTCACTACCGGAGGACCGAGGACCGAGGAGTCGAGGAGGGGAAATTTGAGTATTGAGAAGCCTCTTCTGTCTCTCTCTCTCTCCCTGGGCCCTGCAGCTGTCCACAAGCTTCTCTCATCAATCACTTCCATGTGTTATCAAACCGTGTGAGATGGCTTTTAGCCTTGTGCAGCACCTCTGTAATGTTTAAACATTAACAGCTTCCCTCTGACTGACAAAGTTACACAACCTTAAAAACACAATTGTGGTGAATTGTTTGCGCTCTCAGTTTCCTATCTCACTGTTGTATGATCAATACCACTCCTAAATAACATTACAATATATATTTCCTACAGTGAGTTTGTTATCTAATGTTTAACAAATTCTCCTCTTTCTATGTCTAATCTAAGTGGAATAATCCACTATTATATTTAATGTGAATCGAACCTTAACCTCAATGTACTTAATATACTCAGTAAAACCTCTTTTTACTTTCCCTCAACGTTACTGTATGTAATTAAATTCCTCTGAAATATAATTAAGTACAATTCTCAGTTAATGACGAATACCACGAAATTCACAATGCAATGCAATAGTAACAATCAGTTCTCAAAACTTCTCATAAAAACCACAATGTGACATAACTGTATCCCACAAAAACTATGCTAAAAACAACAAATTATAGTTTCTTATTTATTTAAATATCTACCACCTCAAATCACACATTGATCTATTAATTTTCAATGTTATTCACTCCAACTTCAGATCACTCGTTGATCTTTCACTCCTTGTTTTAAATTCAACGCTCAGCAGCCATTTTTCAGGCATTAGAGAAGAGAGCAAGCAGTCTGGCTCCGGGCTGCTGCACAGCAATTAGAGCAATGTGGAGAAAGGGGGGCTTTTCTTTCTTTTTCTTTTTTTCTGGTATCCTTCCATTATGACTTCGCATTTCTTTATCTGACTAAGGCTATTCTATGTTCAATAATATATTGTATTTATTCATAAGCACATAAATATATCCTCCACGCTGTCTGTTCAGCTTTTAAGATGCGATATTTCTTTCAACAGAATGGGCGTTAAACCCAACAGAACAAGACAGTGAGAAATCCGTTAATTTCAATGGCTTTTGAAGTTCGCGTTTCTGCACTGTAAAAACGCAAACTTAAAATTGTTGGCCTGAAAATATTTAGTTTGTAAAGTGAACAAAAAATATTGAATTGAGTTGCTTACTACATTAAAGTAGTTCTCTCGACTATCTTTATTATGTTGCTTGTTTAAAGTGTGTGTCATTTAATAAATTCAGTTGGCAAAACTTAAAAATCCAAGGTTAGAGTTCAAACTAAGTTCTTTGTGTATGCTTCGAGCTATAGATGAGAGTAACACCTACGTCACTTCCGGGCAAAAATTACGGCCCCGCCCACTTTTTGGGGAAAACAACGCTGTCATTTGAATGGCGGTCAATACAAATTCTGAAGTTTTTGCCAATCCGATCAAATTTTTTGGAAAACCGTGGATTTTTGGATCTTCAAAGAGCTTGATTACGATGGCCAGTCAGGCAAACAATTACATTCGATCATTGGAAATCGACAATCCGTCTCGATATATGGTTAAATTAAAATCAGTAGGCGAGCCTGTAATTTCTCCAGCTGTTACTCTCATGAGCGAGGCGGAAAATAATAGTTTTAACATGCCAAAAAGCTGCTGTGTCGTTTATTGCACCTCAAACATAAAAAATAATCAAGAGTTCAGTGTTTCTGAACTTCCTCTAAGAACAAAGGACAGTAGCAGAAGAGCTCTGTGGCTTTAGGCTCGATCGCCATTCAAATGACAGCGTTGTTTCCACCAAAAGTGGGCGGGGCCGTAAAGTGACGTAGATGTTACTCTCATCTATGAACATCGATAGCCTATTGCTATATTTAACCATATATCGAGCCCGATCGTCGATTTCGAATGGCTTAATGCAATTGTTTGCCTGTCTGGCCATTGGAATCGGGCTCTTTGAAGATCCAAAAGTCTCCGGTTTTCTTACATTTCTGATCGGATTGGCAAAAACTTCAGAATTTGTATTGACCGCCGTTCAACTGACAGCGTTGGTTTCCCCCAAAAGTGGGCGGAGCCGTTATTTTTGCCCGGAAGTGACGCATTTGTTACTCTCATCTATGAACGGGGTCTCCAACAGAAATCTGCAGGGGGTTTTCTACAGTATTTCGCCTTCACATGTTCGGCAGTGCTGTTCTCAACGGGACTGATCATCCTCAAGGTGAGCACTTTGTTTGAATGTTGTATTGAAATTATGAATATAGAAAATGACTGATTTAAAGTGTAACATTAATTGATTGCGAATTATTTAGTTGATTGTTAGTGAATTATCAGTTACTGTGGCACTATATTTTAGTTTGTGGTACATTAGCCGAGTTTAACATTAGCTAGCTAACGCTTCTCTTCAACAGGAAAAATCTTTTAGAAACGTTTATGGCCCTAGACTTCTAAGGTATGCTACGATGGACAAGTGTAGCCAGAAACGTGGTCGGCTGTTAGCTTAGCACATACAAGTTGAATATCAGTGGCAGAAAAATATAACTATGAATGGGGGTTTTAGCAATATTCTGGCAACCCGTCTCTCGGCCAGCATTGAGGACATGCGGGTTCCTATTATACATCCATGCATGCGGGTCTGTCAGGTCGAGCCTGGCGTGAGAGGAAACAGAACGTTAAACTGTTTTATGGCCAGAATATATGGTAAAAGACGGACTGCATAATTAAGGGAGGATTACCGTGAGTTAACGATCAACTAGAATGTAATGTGTGTGAGGGAATCAACCGTTTAAGAGCACGATATCAGCAAACATGTTTTCACCGTAGCTCCAACGATATTATTTTAAATATGAAATGTTAAACAACATTTAAGGTTAAACGTTTTACAGCTTCATAGATCGACATGTCTGATAGGTGGTAACAGTCATTTCTCTGTCCCCGTCAGTGCAGCAGACCGACGGAGACGAGACGACGGAGTGTGTTGAAGCGGCCTATATGAACAACTACAATCCCCGGTTCAGGTGGCGACTGGCGCGCTAACGGAGCTCCAGGAGGGAAAACCTTTGCGACGCTGAGGTTCGGCTGATTTGCAAAGGTATGCTAACATGGATGTGTGTTGTCTGCCACATGGTCGGCTTTTAGCTTGAAAAATATACGATGGTGCATATTAGCGTTAGCATAGGACAGTAAGAAAGGTACTACTTATTACTGCAAGAGCAGCTAGTGGTAAGGACCTCGGACAACTTAAATTTAAAACATGCTATTGAGACATGTGCCGTCAGTTTGAGGCGTGATTGAAGGTCATTCCAAGACCAAGGACCACAATAAAAAAGAATCCTTTTCCCAGCCTCAGTCCGCACAGCAGGAACCTGGAACCTATCCAGGCACTGGATCTGAGGTTGTAAGAGTCACAAACTGGAGCAAATCTGGCAAGTTTAGTGTTTTATTCCGTTATAACAAAATAGCAATAAACAACGGTTCCCTTTTTAATGCCATTCTTAAATAAATGCAACAAGCTGTAGTTTTTGTAGACTGTAAATACACCAACTATATCTTTAGTTTATGATTTGTGTTATCAAATGTGTTCTGCGGCTACAGATATTTATTTTTTGTGGAAATGGGGCTGAAATGGGGCTCTTGTGATAGTAAAGGTTGCAGACCCACCATATATATCATTACATTACATGTCACTTGTTTAGACGCTTTTATCCAAAGCGACTTACATACTCAATACTGTGGGCAATCCCCACAGGAGCAATTTGGGGTGAAGTGTCCCAGGGACACAACGACATGCTGGCTGCAGTGGGGTTTGAACCTGTGACCCCCTGATCCCAACACCAAGGCTCTATCCACTGCACCACACGCCTCCCGTGTATATATCATACACAGTTTGTGTATATCTATGTATTGCAGCAAAAAACTGTGAAAGGTAAATTGACCATTTTGGCTTTTTAATTCTAATTACAGATATCATATGAAATGCAAATATTGTGATTTCGTCAGCTCAAGTCATGAGAGTGTACTGAGGCACCAACGACTTCGGCACGGAAGAGGAAATCACTGGCCCTGTGCCTACACCGACTGTGTCTGCACCTTCAGAACCTATGGGGCATTGAGGTCATACCTCACCAGAGAAAACTTGCCGTTTTAAATAAATCACAAATGGATCCTGACTTCTGAGATTCAGAAATGACCCTTTAATCACTCATTTTAACCATAAATCCTAATGCTCTGTTTTTCTGATTTACAGACATCTGACATTGCACAGCAACGAATGAGAATGTGTCTGGAAGGTCTGCCCTTATTTGTCTGTGACAGTGCAGAGAAGCTCTTCCTGAAATGCCTGGTGTGTACAGTATGGTTGTCCATTAATCATAAGTCTACATTTAATGTCATACAAGTGCAGTTATTAAGTTTTCCTATAATCATAGATAAATCTGTTTTGAAGATGAAGGCCGATTCTCAGGATAAATACTAGACCTGCTACATAACTACTAGTGAACTAGTTGTACAACAGAACAGTTAACATTTTCACAGTTATTGTGTCATTGCTGAGCAATCAAACCAGTGTTTTATTTGCAGTTATATAATATCCTTATTTGGTAAATAATAATTGCTTATCTGCTTTCTACATGCAGGACACTGATCCGGAAGAAAAGCAGACTGCTGGTGTCAAGATGGGAGTCCTCACTGTTCTCGTAGATGATGGTGGACCTACCCCGTCTCAAATGGTCAACAGTATTGCTGTTGTCTTGGAAGAGACAATTGTACTCTTGGATCTACCAGACATCCCAACTGCATTTGTCTACCTTTTTGGTCTACTCTATGCCCTGAACATTGAGTTTCCAAAAGAACACAAGTACACTTTTGAGACTGTTCAGCACATCTTCATGGGACTTTCCACCAGTTGCTCACAGCGGATCAGGAGTTTGAAAACAAAGCTCTTAATCTAAGTGAGCATTGGCAAATTCAAAAACGGATTCACAAGATGTCCCCATTTCATTTTCCTGCCTTCACCGCTGTTTGTGACTTGAACATTCAGTTCCCAAAACCAAACTAACCCAACTAACTAACTAAACCAACTAACTAACCCAAATAACCCAAGTTCTTTATCTTTACAGATAAAATGTTAACTAGTGACATGAACATCTAGCTACATTTTCAAAGACATGTTCTCACTCTTAAGGCACAAGCACCCTTTTTCTCTAACATTATTTCACATTTTTCTCAAGCTGGCTTGCATACTCGTTGTTGTAATATTGCAAGGACTAGTTAGTAGTTACTGCCACAATTGTTGTCTTGCAGCTGTTTTTTTTTTGTATAAAGAGCCATATGAGTAGTGGAAGAGTTGGAAATGGTGTGGTCCCTCAGAGTTGTGTTGGGAGAAATCACTGGCTGTTTACATGCCGTTTTACAGATTGTTCATTTTCGTTATTAAACACTAACTTTGGCATATAACTTTGCCATTTGTTATTCCATAGCTGCTATTGTTTTGACAGCAGGCTTATTCAAAGGGTGGTTTGCACATTTTTATGGAACCCTAGCCTTATGGAAGACTTTTAGTGATGGTGTATTTTCAATGTTGTTACACATATTCAGTATCATTGGAAATCTTTGTTTTTTACAGTATTTTTATAACAGAAGTTTGTAATAAAAAATCTGAATTTTGTATATGTTTGATACATTTTCTGAAACAAAAATATTAACTTTGCACAACTTTCACTTAATGGAATTGTTAGTATGTAGTACTCAAAATAAGAAGTTTCTATACATATGAAAGGTACATTTTCTAGACCAAAAATAATAACTTGGCACAACTTTCACTTAATGGAATTCTTTGTATGTGGAACTCAAAGTTAGAAGTTTTTAAACGTATGAAAGATACATTTTCCAAACCAAAGATAATAAGTTAGCACAACCTTTACTTATTTAAAATGTTAAGTATGCAGAACTCAAAACTTGAAGTTGTACAAAATTTGAATGAGTTGTCTCGACAAAATATAATTAGTTGACTCAATTGAAAAGAGAAACTTAGAAATGTTAGTTGGCCTCAAAACTTAAAAATCTTGTGCAGCCTGTTGCCTTGAAATTTTGAGTTGTCCTAACTTTTTTTTTTTTACAGTGTGCGCTTGGATCTTTACATATAATACAACTGCAGCGACCTATGACACTGGAAAGCATTATTCTGATTGGTCACGGATGGAGACTCGATACAACCATTTGACCCCCCCAGGATGTACAGCCTGTGAGAACGCAATATCTCGACTAAGCTAAAGACGTGATGCCCTTTCAGTCGCCAGAGACTCAACACCTGACGCTGAAAATACTTCGCTGCTTCACTTGTAGCGAACGAGTTTAGCCGTATGATTCTGAGAAATCTACGAAGCTTTTAACCGTTGCTTTATTTATTTATAACTTACCTACCTATGCTAAACTATGCATTGCATTCTTTACCGTAAATGACACTTGGAAAAATCTTTGACAACTCTAAAATTTAGCTTGAGCCAATTACAGACTTTCGATAGAAACAGGCGTCCGTTTTACCTTTCAGTTGTAGGATCCTTAGTTGTCAGAGATTATTCCAGGCATCTCCCTCCGTCCGCTGGCTGCTAGTGTTTTCCTCTAAACAACCCTTTTCACCCACGTCGGGGTCACTACTTTGTTGGAGTTAGTGGTTTTAAAACCCACCTCGGCTCCGCGTGTTCGTTTTGTGAATGGGTCAGATTAACAGAGGAAGAATTCACAGCAAACATTGGTAAGGTTATAACAAATATGCTGATTTAATGGCAAAAGACACAATAACACTATTTCACGGAGTAATCCGGATTACCCCGGCCCTGGTTCCTCCCGCTGGGAAAGCTTACTTACTTCGTCTTGGCAGCAGGAGAAAAGAGACCAGACACCAGGACTCAACAGGAGATATTGTAAAAAACAAGGGAGGAGTCGGGTGAAATTCTCCTCCCACAGAGCCCATCCTGCAGCATTCCAGAAACTTCAGTTGTGTCTAAAGAATATTCCCTTGCTCACAAAGATAACACAAAGATTTAATCTCTCATATCTCCAACTTCTGGTTACACAGACTGCTTATGTGCAACTCGATTTTGACAGGAAAGCAACTGGAGACTTCTAGAATTGTGTGAGTAACATTCTGTTTTTAGACTTCTCTGTTTCAGTGTGTGTACTCTGTATCAATGCTCTGTAGTTGATCTGACTGAAATTGTGATTTTAAATCTCAAAACCGCTACAGTATTAGTCAGGCAGAAACTTGGGACAAGTAATTTGACTGAAACCTTAAAACTGAACTAACTGACTGCTTGGATTAAGTTTGATTTAAACATTTGTGGAATACTAAGAGCTTTATTGAGTAGGTGTAACTGTATTAAGGGTTAAACTCATAACTTTATACCTTAGGGTTTAATGTAATTGTAAAACCATTGGGCCACTTAAAATACAATGACAAGTCAGGAGGGAGCCAGTCTAGATTTCCTTTTGAGGGCCACCAGCTGCAGAGAGTTAACTAATTAAAGGGACGTGGCCCCACAGCTGTGAGAACTCAGCAATCAGGTGTCCATTTTAGGTAGCACTTTCCTGGAGCGTCAGCTTCAGCGTCAGACAGGCTAAGACTGACAAAGACATTGGAGTCCTGCGGGAGTAAGACTGACAAAGACATTGGAGTCCTGCGGGAGTCACGAGGGAGGCAAAGAGGAGGCAAATCCTACTTTGATTGAGCTAAAGTATCGCTGGTGTTTTATTTTATTTGGTTGTTTAGCCCCTCATGCTATAATCATGTGTATTTTCTCCATTCCTGTTTATGTGTCTTCTCGCAATTATCACTGGCCCCGTGTATCTCGTAATCGATATAACCGGCCTGCTCTCGTCTATCCCACATGCTCCACTGAGATCCAACATCTAGTTTCAGGCGGCCTGTGGAACTGCCAGTCAGCTGTTCCTAAGGCTGACTTCATCTCTGGCTACGCTTCCCTGCAGTCTCTGGATTTCCTTGCTCTCACTGAGACGTGGATTACTCCATCCAACACATCCACCCCAGCAGCTCTCTCCACAGCATATTCCTTCTCCCATACACCCAGACCCACTGGCAGAGGAGGTGGCACTGGTCTCCTGCTCTCTCCCAAATGGAGCTTTTTCCTCTTCAAGCTACCTAACTTCACTCCTTCCACCTTTGAATTCCATGCCGTCACAGTAACCCATCCTATACAATTAACCATTGTTGTTCTCTACCGTCCACCAGGCGCCTTGGGGGACTTCTTGGAGGAATTAGATCATCTCCTCTCACACATCCCTGAAACTGGTCCTCCCGCTGTTTTTCTCGGAGACTTCAACCTCCAGACAGGGAAGATAGACGAACTAACATCTCTGTTAACCGCCTTTGCTTTCTCACTGTCTCCGTCCCCACCAACTCATAAAGCTGGCAATGTCCTTGATCTCATATTCTCAAGGAACTGTACTACTTCTAACCTCTCTGTAAACCTGCTCCACACATCCGATCACTTCTTCATTTCATTCTCTCTACCCCTTTCCAAACATAACAAACTAATCTCTTCTCATCCTGCACCTGTCCGCCGTAACCTTCGTTCCCTCTCCCCCTCTACCTTTGCCTCATTGCTGCTCTCAGCCCTCCCTTCCTCGGACTCGTTCCAACTACTACCTCCAAACTCTGCTGCAGAAACTCTCCTCTCTACTCTCTCATCCTCTCTGGACTCTCTCTGTCCTCTCACATCTCGGCAGGCTCGTCAGTCCCCTCCTGCTCCCTGGCTAAATGATGCACTGCGTGCTAATCAGTGGCGGCACTAGGGGGTGGCTACTTGGGCTCAAGCCCCGGATGTTTTCTGAAAAGCCCCGGATGTTTCACTTAAACATTTTTTTTATTTTTTTTTTTTGAAAACGTCTCGGGAGTAATGTGCAGTACCGGAGTCCACCAGAGAGGCAGCCACTGTGGGACATTAGCCTGTGTACTGCGTAGCCTGCCCTGAAGAAGAAGTGATCCTTCCTAGTGCCTGACGAGTTTTAAGCTAATAGCCTATACAGTTATGGATATTAGAAAGTTATTGTCATTGAAGCAGCCGGCGCCACAAGCTGCAGCAGCAGCAGTATCAGCAGCTGACAACAATGTCATCACCAGCAGTCAAGAAATGGATGATGTTTCAGGTTTGTTAATCTAATGGTGATATCTGCACTCTGGCTGACTGAGTAAGAAGTGAAAAAGAGTGATGTAATGTTAATGTTATAGCTAGTAAACATGGAGTAACCACACTAAGTATACCCTTATTTGTTAGTATGTATACAGAACATGACTAAAAATTATCCTAAGATGTAACGTTAACCCTTGATAACTCAGTCTACTTTTAAGACACTAAAATAACGTATTCCAATTTTTATTTTGTTTTCACGCGTGGAATTATACCGGCTCTCGTTTCAGTACACATAACAACAGAACTGACAGGCAACCCTCTGAATCAGACTCCGATTGGCTGTGACTGCATCCACTCAGTGTCCGATTCAGAAACGTGACTCTTACACTCTTTACGTCACAAACAAAGATGGTGGATGAGAATAGATCTATAAAACGATAAGCAATGCGCCAGAATCAAGGTGAGACTATCCGCATCGTTTAAAACTCTACGCACATTCGTTTCACCTTAATAAGTAAACGACTATTTGAGTGAGTTAAGGCATTAGTTTGCTTCATTAAAGGGTGTTAATGAGTGTTCTCCAGTGCCTTTTGTCCGCTTTAAGGTGTTATTAATGTAGGGTTAATGTTGCTCTCAAAGTGCACCAGATTGATGCTTTCAACTTCAATATTTAAAAAAAAATCTTCCCGGGGGAGCATGCCCCCGGACCCCCCGAGAGGAGGCGACGACCCCCCTAAAGGATGTTCGGTCCACCCCCCACTTATAAAAAAATAGCACTGTACCCCTGCACTCCCCCAACCCAACGACTACTGGGCTAAGCCCCGGATCTCCTACAATCCTAAATCCGCCTCTGGCGCTAATAGAACCGTCCTTCGGGCAGCAGAGCGGAAATAGTGGAAATCCAAACACCGTGACGACCTCCTAACCTATCAGGCTCTCCTCTTTCTCTGCTTCGATCTCTCAGGCAAAAAGCACTTTCTTTCAAGATAAGATCCAATCCTCCTATTCCAATCCCAAAAAACTATTTTCCATCTTCTCCTCCCTCCTGGACCCCCCCAAAGCCCCTTCCCCCTCCTCCCTTCTGTCAAGCAACTTTGTTAACCACTTTGAAAAAAAGGTTGATGATATTCACTCTTCTTTTTCTGACTCACCTCGACTCACCGCTGGGTCACCAGACCCTCCTTTCACCCACACACTGACCTCCTTTTCCCCTCTCTCTCCAAGTGAGGTTCTTACCCTCATTACCTCTGCCCGCCCTACCACCTGTCCTCTGGACCCTATCCCTTCAAACCTCCTTCAGACTATCGCTCCTGATATTCTACCGTTTCTCTCCCATTTCATCAACACTTCTCTAACTTCTGGTCACTTTCCAAACAGTCTCAAGGAGGCAAGAGTAAACCCTCTCCTAAAGAAACCCACTCTCAACCCATCTGATGTTATAAACTACAGGCCTGTCTCTCTACTCCCGTTCCTATCTAAAACACTTGAACGCGCTGTCTTTAAACAACTCTCCTGCTAT